GTAACTTATATCTAACGAATTTAGCCGCCATAAATAATTTCCTCTCCAATTCGATATTTTGCACTTGCAAAAAAGGCTAATTCGAAATTATTATTTTTAATATTTTTACCATATTTCTAAAGTTAAAGCGTATATTACACAACCTCCAGTAGTAGGATATATAATACTTCGTTGCGTTCCTCAGAATTTTATAAAGCAGTAAGTAAGATGGAGCCCTAGTGTGTGTTGGAGGATATCACATATTTTCGAACTGTTTACTGCTACTGAAAATGTGACTATGCAAGTTTATTCACGACATGTTGAGCTTATCATGTGTGAGCTTTTGATAAATCTGCACTCGAAATGCAATTAAGAATTGCATTGGTACCGGCGGGCATCAAATCCGAGTTGCTTGTATTCTGTGAAATTTACGGCAATGGCTAAATTACTGAGCCAGCATAGACACTAATATCATCTTTCTAATTTAATATATATTTCTATCAGCGAAATTTTCTTTTTCTGTCTAGAGATCCTAGGGTTTGTACAAGCAGCAGTTTTGAAGATAATTAATTTCTACTATTATTACTATTATATTGAATAAAGTACGTGAGGATAATGTGGTCACCTTAAGCTTCCGCCCTATAATATCAAAACTTAGAGGAGGGCAGAGACAAAAATTCAAAGTCTTATACTATAACTAATATAATAAAAAAAAACAGCAAACAAGCTTTAGCAATAATTAGAAACACTTCTAAAAATCAACTTAAAATATATTAACTACACTAAACAATACTAAAATCGACTAAACTATTTACTATAATGTCAACTGTCAAAATAGCGTTGATAAAGCAGCGCTTTTTTGACCTTTATTATTTGATTGACTGATAAAGAGCTATCGTATCACAAAAACAAGGCTGCAGTTTTTGAGTTATAAGAAAGTGACCATATTAACCGGATGACAATATTACCCTCACGTACTATATTTATTTCAGCAAATAATATTTTTATGACAGATGTCACACATTAATTGATGATGCTACAACCATTGACATAATAAGTCACATTACAACATAATATGTGTGTATTTACCCTGAGATGCTACAAAATTTTGATATCATGAAGGAATATGCATGTTTAGGATGTGACACGTCTTATCGAACTTATGGTAAATGTATATACGAGTAAGTAGTATATATAGTTGTTATTACCCAGCTTACAATGAACATTGGCTCGATGTACCGAGCACATAGCTATGTGCCGTGCCGTGCCACCAATGAATAAAAGGCCTTACTAATAAATAAACTGAAAACGTAGAATCATAATAAATGAATTCAACGAATTCATTTTAGTCCATGTGTCAGTCAATGTTAGATCAAAACTAAGTTATACAATCTGGTAAATTAATCTGTACATCCTTACCTAAATCGGTCGTTTTCACAAATATGAAGGAATTAGGTATATAATACTAAAAACCTTTTGTCCGCCCAAGCAGATGTATCAAAATGGCTCACAACGTCAACAATTTGCCAATGTTACCGCCAATGTTCACGCTATTGTAAGAATAAAAAAAAGATCAGCTATCAATAACGCTACTTACCGCCCAATCAGCGAAGGTGTCACATTACGGCGCGCTTTGTGAACATCCTAGTTATGTTTACAAACAAAATAAGGGCTTGTCATAATCTGTTTTCGAACGCGCCTTTCCTATTTTCGGTCTGGCAACTTCAGCCGGATTGTTTTTTTTTTTCTTTCGGCTTAGAAAAAGGTATGGATTTCAACGCCTCATTGTTGGTTTATGCGTGTATAGAATACAAGGTGTTTCCAAGGAAAGGGAAGGTAAGTCTCACATAAGATCTGCGAATAATTCGCAACTTTGTGTGGTCCATTCATACTTGACAGGTGACAGTTTTGAGGGGTTTTAATTCTTTAGAACAGTTTTACTTTTAATTGTATTTTGCTTCAAATATTCCTTTAAATCTTATTTGCTTTTCAGAACAGGATGAAAGTGAATTGATAACAACACAAAACTTCTATTTATTACTCCTTTATATATTTTGAATAATAAAGTACATACTATATACTTTCCAATGTTGGGTACATGCCTCCTCTGATTTATTAGTCACTCCTTAGTAACTAATATATATTTTTTTTTGTAGCTCGTCAGCTACAGCAGGGCATGCAATATTTAAAACCAATGAATCAATCAATATATTCTCTATTGTGCATTAACAGGTCTCTACATAAAAAAGAGACAAAATTAAATATATATAAAAAAGAACAACAGGCGGTCTTATCGCTCTGGAAGCGATTTCTTCCAGACAACCCTTGTTTAGCAAAGAACTTTTGTTTACAGTGAATTGCAAATAGGGCAGGTGTACATAAATTTGAAAATTAAATTGAAAAAATTATAAATATATGAATACACACAAGACGATCACGGTTGAGGATGTGTAGGATAGATACAATTGAGGAAGCGAAGGGAATTATGATGGGGGAAATATTAGAGTTACAGGTAATAAGTTTTGAGTAGATTTTTGAACGAAAAATGTGACTGAGCACGTCGAATAAGGCAGGGAGTTCCACAAACTCGTACAATGCTATGCAACTCGATGGCGATCCCTTGATAAATTTGGCTGGTGCCATTTTTTTATAAAAAATAAAAGTGACAAATGAAAACCAATAAACACCTAGATACATACTTCCTTCTGTCCTTGATTCTCATCGATTGTAATCAATTGTAAAAGTGTAATAACTCCCGAGGATTAAGATAATATGCCTTCTTACTAGCAGTAAAAAGGGTCCTTTACACTCACCACGTCAAATACAGCGGTTTAAAGCTGTTACTTTAGATTTGTATTTTGTGAGGGCCTTAACCTTCCACGGTCTAGCGTTCTATCAATGCTGCAACCATAATATATCTGCAGCATGGCTCTATACCGCTTAAAAATACATATTTCATAACTGCAAAAAAGAGAAAGTTATTCACAACACAGCTATAAACGGAAACAGTTTCTGTGTTTGTACAAACACCTGGCTCCGTCACTGGAATTCGAATCAAACAGGCGATGGTAGGACAATCCTACTACTACATTACAGATGTCGGTATAACCAACCCGTTTACCCCAGACGAAGGAAATAATAGCAAAGGCCCTCGTCTAGCATTAATCTTGTACGAGCTGACCCATTCGCTTCTGACACTCGATTGAAATTCATCATAAGCCCTTGATGCATAAGCGTAGCGCTGCATGTGACCTCATCCCACTGATCACATTTCCTATAATCTGTGACTCCTTCCAATGAAGTTAGTTGTTATCGCTACGTTACGCCTAATATTATTGCATAATTAAGAGTGCCAATACTATAATATTCGATTTTAACTATTTCCGTTACTACTTGTTCCTTAATTATATTATTCAAGGAGTGAGGATATCTACGGAAAACAAACTCAGAACTCAGAAACATTTATTTAAGGCACAGAATAAATAATTATAATTAATTTAATACTTAAGGTAAGAATGTAACAAAGTACCTAAAAAAACAAACAAACCTAGTTAGTATTCAGGAAAGGAAAATAAAATAAGCCGTCCTAGGCTAGGATCTTTATTAGCGAGTCAATAAAGTTCCTGCCTTCCTTCTTTATTAGAAAAGTAGTAAGAAAGGTGTATTCGCATTTAGGAAGCTTGTAAACAAAATTGAGAGAAAAAGAGGTTATCATAAATTTACCGGAGGTTTTTAAAGAAATGTCCTATATTTGGGACAAAATCTATCGCAATGATTTGTGTAAAAATTTAAGAAGCGAATAATATAATGATGGTGGGCCAAATTAAGAGTACCCTTAACCGACGAGCATGTACTCTTATGCATAGGTATATGGATGTAAAGGAGGCGGGAAAAGGCGTTTCAGGATCGTGCAAATTGGAAGTCCGTAGTCTCTGCCTACCCCTCCAGGTAACATGCGTGAGTATTTGTGTATATTTTAGCATTCGCTTCTTAATACATTTAAGAAGCGAATGCTTCAACGTTTTTTGAACATATGTAGTGGGACATTAAAAATTTAATAAATTGCACAGATTCGTATCTGATGGCTCTAACATATTTAAAATATGAATGTTTGTGAATTCCAAGTTACCAGTGTCAAGGTGCAGGATGATAGAATTATCAAGTAGTTTATCGTTTGTTACAATTTATTGAAAATTAAAGGCAATAAGATCTGTAAAATTATGTATGAAAGCGGATGTTCAACTTGCACTCTTGCTTACGCAATTAATCGTTATCAGGAATGAGACAGCGTACTTAACTACACAATTAGTAAATACAGCAAAGCAGTTCGATCGGCCTTAATATGTCACCGCCACAATCACTCACTGGTGTAACGTAAAGGACATAATTACATGATAACACCAAAGTATATAAACAAACAGAATCCCTACTAATGTAACCCTGGGCAGCTTCTCAGCGGCACAATCTTCCTTGCCAACACTAGAAGAATAGCCACAAGGGCATGGTAACGACAGTGAGACTCGTAGAATCGCCGACTGATCTAGTCGCCTGTGCGATAATTTAAACCGCTTGAACGAGTGGGGGATTATAGTTTCACCTTCATTTGTTAGTACTTCCTTTTATTTTTTTACCCTCATTCCCAACAATATAACAATATTTAAATTGTTGCAAAATCCTATCTCCTCAGTTTCAAGGCACTCCCCTTGCTGCCTCAGCTAGCATCAGAATCCTCGGCGTCGACATATCGAATAATGTGCAGTTTCGTGGTCACTTGGCCCCTCCAAGTTAATAATAATAATAAAATTAAGGCGTAGGGAAGTGACGACCCCATCGCCCGCTGTCGTAACAGTTATGTGACAAAACTGCGACGTCGGCGCAGTCAGTCAGCATCCTGCCAAGAGGTGTGAGCGCCGTGCCTAGGCAAAATTGTAGATGCAAAGGTCCGTTTGTGCATATGACCCAACCACGAAACGGTGCCGGGCTTGGGCGTCTCCCGTTATTTGGCGCCCATAAAATGGATGATGGAAGAAACACAAAAAGGAACGCGCATAGGGCCGCTGCCTGGGGGTCGCCGGGGCGCGTCTGGAGCTGGCGCTGGACGCGGCAGCATGCGGGCCGCCAGCCGAGCTCGAGGAGCTGCACGATCACCTAGCAGCCCCTCGCATCCATCATCCCCACCAGAAGGCTTGGTGTCGGCTGGGTCTTCTCGGACCCAGCAAGCGGCACCCGCCGCTGGTGGAGCACGTCGCATGCGTTGGACAAAATCCATGAACGAAAACGCATTGCGGGCGTACTATAGGGCGAAAGGGGAAGAAACTGTGGGAATAGCGTATAGGTCTCGGATGCATTGCTTTTTTGCTGAGCTGGAGCCGTCTATCCCCGTCACGGAACAAAACCTGGCAGACCGAGTTCGGTACATCATGCGCTCGAAAATATTTGATGATGCCGAACTCGAACGACTACGACGTGAGGCTATTCCGTCGTCGAATGAATCGGCTATGGCTGGAGATGCAGCTCCACATTCGACAGACCAGCATCCACACGTGGAAGCCGCCATGGATCTTCCAGTTGTGGTTGATTCGAACTACGATGAAATAGTCTCCCACGAACTAGAGCAAATGAGGAGTATATTGGAAGAGGCGATTTTGGAAACGCGCAGCACCCCTCTCGAAAATCGACCGCGACTTCCCCCGCATACCCTTAAGCAAGCGAAATCGGGCTGTCGTGAGGGCTCTTAACCCAATGCTGGTGACCTATTTGGAAGCCAGCCGGGACCTTTGCGAGACGGACTCGATTCTCTTTGGCGCCGCAGTGGCAGTTTGCCGTATTATTGGCGCCAAACTTCCCATGGCTGGACGCGCTACTACACAAAGTAACGCCATCCCAGCCTGGAGGAAAAGAATCGAGGACCGTATTCCAAAGGCAAGGGCCCTTATCGGCAGACTGACAAGCTTCAGGTCGGGTAATAATAGACCGAGGATTATGCGCACCGTTAGGATGGCGTTTGCTGGGACAAATATCAGTTTGTCCCAGCCGGATATCACGCAGAAACTAACGGAGCGCATAGACGACCTGAAGCAAAAGATCGCTGCTTGGGGGAAGCGGATTCGACGATTTTCCGAGGGGTCAAGGAGGTTCAACCAGAATCGTCTCTTCCAGAGTGATCAGAAGAGGCTCTATAAATTATTGGAGCGACCAAAGGTATGTAATGTAAGGCTGATCGTGGTCAGAGCCCGTAAACCACAGTGAGGGCCCTTGGATGGAAGTTGTGGCGAGCCAGGGTGCGAGTGTTACGGCTATGGACCCCATCACCATAACGCCAGAAGCCGTGGCTGAGGCGGTCCGTAGGGCCCCGAACTGGAAAAGCCCGGGGCTCGACGGGCTGCATCATTACTGGCTGAAGGGGTTCGTAGTGTGTCACGCTGTGCTCGCCCGACAGTTTCAAGAGGCTCTCGACCAGAAGTCACTCCCGAGCCTCTTCACTACTGGGATCACTCACTTGGTTCCTAAAGATCAAGATACCACAGACCCGAGCAAATACCGCCCCATCACGTGTCTACCCACCATATATAAGACACTGACATCCATTTTGAGCGCGAGAATCACTCGTCACCTGGAGCTAAACCAGGTGATGTCACGCGCTCAAAATGGATGTCGGGGCGGTGGTCGTGGAACTAAGGAACCACTCCTCATTGACGCGGTCATAGGCAAAGTGGTGAAACGCAACCGTCGGAACTTCTCTGCCGCCTGGATAGACTACAGAAAGGCGTTCGACTCGGTGCCCCATACATGGCTAAAGAGGGTCCTCGAGCTGTACAAGATTGACTGTACAGTTAGAGACTTCCTCGAGCAGTGTATGGGGCAGTGGAGTACGATCCTTTGTCATCTGGGCGAGCGGATGACGGCTGCGGAGAACCACATAAGGATAAGAAGGGGTATCTTTCAGGGCGATTGTCTGAGTCCAATCTGGTTCTGCCTCTCTCTTAACCCTCTCAGTACCTTACTGGAGGGCTCCGGGAGGGGATTTCAGCTACGGAGAGGAGGGACAAAAGTGACCCACCTTTTCTATATGGATGACCTCAAGTTATTCGCCTCCAGTCGCTCCCATCTTGTGGAATTGCTAAAAATCGCTTGTGAGTTTAGCAGTTCCTTTGGAATGGAGCTGGGGACGGATAAGTGTGCGGTCCTCCATGTTGAGAGGGGAAGGGTTGCTAACTCTGAGGGCATATATTTAACTATGCCCGTCAACTTAAGGACCCTTTCCGAGGCTGAAACATACCGATACCTGGGTATGTCACAGAACATCGGTATCGATGAGGCTGGTGTGAAACAGTCAGTTTGCGACGTGTTTTATGCACGCTTGACCAAAGTGCTTAATAGCCTTTTGTCCGGTGTGAATAAGACACACGCATATAACGGTTGGGTCATGCCTGTCCTTATGTATACCTTTGGCATACTCAGGTGGACTCAGACTGAACTTAACGCCCTGGATAGAAAAGTCCGCACTACCATGACGTCCCATAGGATGCATCATCCGAGATCGTCGGTAATGAGGCTGTACTTGCCGCGAAAGCATGGTGGGCGTGGCTTTCTAAGCGCGCTCACTATGCATAATCGTGAAGTGTGCAGCCTCCGTCATTACTTCCTGGCGAGATCGGATGATCCATTCTATAATGACGTCATTTCTAGTGATAAAGGGCTTACCCCTCTATCCTTGGCCAACGAGCAATGGCAGGACCCAGCAGTGCTTAGCATTTCCGACCGGGAGACCGTATGGAAGGAGAAGGAGCTCCACGGGAGGTACTACAGGGTTCTACATGAGCCCTTCGTAGATACAGTCGCCTCCCTCAACTGGCTACGTTTCAGTGACCTCTTCGGGGGAAACCGAGGGTTTTGTCTGTGCAATACAGGATCAGGTTATTAAGACCAACAACTATCGGAGATACATCCTAAAGGATGGCACCGTCGACGTCTGTCGAGCTTGTCGCCATCCCGGGGAGTCACTTAGACATGTCATCTCCGGTTGTTCGGCGCTTTCTAACTCTGAGTACTTGCACAGGCACAACCTAGTAGCCAGAATTCTACACCAGGCGCTCGCTCTGAAATACGATCTCGTGGACCGGAAATTGCCGTATTACAAGTACTTGCCGGAAGCCGTGCTCGAAAATGACCGCGCCAGGCTCTACTGGGACCGGGCCATCATCACAGACAGGACTATTCTTGCAAATAAGCCTGATATTGTGCTGATGGACCGGGCACAGTCAAGGATATTTTTGGTCGACATTACCATTCCGTATGACGAGAACCTCGTGAAAGCCGAAACAGATAAGCAAACAAAATATCTGGACCTGGCTCACGAGGTGACCGACATGTGGGGTGGTCTGCCGACCGAAATTATTCCTGTAGTCGTCTCTGCAAACGGGCTAATCCCAGTCAGCCTCTCGGGTCATCTGAGGCGACTGGGACTCCGTGACGGACCGCTCCGGGCTCAAATGCAGAAGGCAGTGGTCCTTGATACCGCCCGCATCGTCCGTCGGTTTCTTTCCCTTTCCCCCTAACCCTCGGCCGTTTGGTCTCCCCTGCCGAGGGCTTCCATCTGGTTGGATCTTTATTTATTTGTGTATTTTTTGTATTTATTTTATTTTATTGATATTTATGTATATTTATCTTTTCATTTTAATTTATAATTATATATTTATAGAAACCAACCAGATGAGAAAACTATACAGATACCCCAAAAATTAATAAATAAAGCTAAATTGGCCTCTAAAAACTTGGCGTGCTCACCAGAGCGAGACAATATTTCATGTCGGCACATCGCTCGCAACTTAATAAAGTACAAGTTCGGCCACACATGGAATACTGTTCTCATCTCTGAGCTGGGGAACCCCAGTGCCAGCTCATTCTACTTGACCGCATCCAGCGCAGAGTGGTTCAAATCGTCGACGGCCGAGTTCTTTCTGATCGGCTCGATTCACTGGCGCTGCGTAGGGATGTTGCATCTCTTTGCGTTTCCTATCATATCTACTACGGGGAGTGTTCTGAGGAATTTTTCGGATTGATTTCAGCCGACAAATTTCACGAACGCACATCGCTCACGATACCATCGTCACCACCATCGTCACCACCTCGTCGCTTGGCGGTCCACTACTGTGCGTTTTACTAGTTTTCTTCCTCGTACAACTTTTCTGTGGAATCGTTTACAACAAGTGAATATTCCTGACCGATACGACCTAGGGACCTTCAAAAAAAGAGCTTACACCTTTCTAAAACGCCGGCAACGCACCCGCAATTCCCCTGGTGTTGCGATTGTTCATGGGCTGCGGTAGTCACGGCGTTAGTGAGCAGCATGCTCATTTTTTATAGAAGAGAGGGCCCTCTTCTATAAAAATAAACTGTGTAATTGTTATTACCTAACAATTACCTTATCCCAATTTGAAGTAGAAAGAAGTAAAGAAAGTGTTAGGGTCAGTCACGAGCATTATATTTTTAATCCAGAATATTTATAACACGGCTGCCACATTTACACTTTAGTTCAGTATTAATATTTTATACATGGTAAAGCCACGCTGCAGCTATATAATGGTTGGAGCACGAAGGGGTTGGCTCGACCGGGGTAGGACCCCGCTCTCACAGAATACCGGCGTAAAATAGCAGCTCAATGTTGCTGTCTTTCGTATGGTGAGTGTAGAGAACCCGAGACCCGTTTTACTGGAATCGAGGCATTCCATCTTAGTCCTCAATGGTGACAACGCATTTTGATTCTTAATGTAGATGTCTATGGGCCACAGCATCCACTTACCATCAGGTAGACTGTGTGCTCGTTTGTCACCCTTATTCTATAAAAAAAGCGTTACAAATAATTTTAGTAGATAAATTTATATAAAAAACCAAATCAAAGCTTAGAATATGGTATACTATAATCAATAGATACATAAAATCTAATTATAATTATTTTCTGATAACTTTTTAAGTTAAAATAATAATAAAAAAAAACATCCGAAAATTTTTCTTCGTCATATGCCTCTACCAATGTAGAGATAAATTGCCTGTAGTTGTCATGCTTGGCAGACGGATTGACGACCACAGTACCGGATGTATCGTTTATGGCATATAAGATACCACGCTACTTTATACCACATCTTCAGGAGGCCATCAGGTTTTTCTTGATTTTCCTGGAGTCACCTCTAACTACACGATAAAACAAAATGAGGTTGTAGAGTCTCCTACACCGCCCCCACACGACTCTAAATAATTTTTTAATAATTAAATAAAATTTATTAACTACACTAATAAGTAAGTACGGTACGTGAGTTTAATATGGTCACTTTAAGCTTTGCCGCCCTATAAAAACAAAACTAGGAGGACAGAGATAAAAACATAAAGTCGTATACTATAACTAATACATTTAAAAAAAACAGCAAACAAGCTTTGGCAATAATTAGGAAGACTTCGTAAAATCTACTTAAAATAACTAACTACACTACACCATGATATCATAAAATCAACTAATTATTTACTATATAGTCACATCGGTCGAAATGGCTTCGTTAAAGCATTGCGCTTTTGACCCTTTATTATTTGATTGACCGATGAAGAGCTAGAGCCTTGCATAGGCTTTGTGATACGATATCACAAGGCTGTAGTTTTTGAGCTACAAGAAAGTGACCGTATTTGCAGGATGATCATATTACCCTCACATACTATACCAATATTTTTGTCTCATATAAGTGTCCAC